GTATTTTTATATTTTTATATTCAATAAATTGTAAATTTTATATAATGAAAATAATCTGAGTAGTAGTGATTTATTTCTGAGTTGCAGTATTTTTAATATATAATATAAATAATTTACTTCTGAGTAGTAATAATTTTTACAGTGTATTAATAAATAATTGCTAAATAGTAGTATTTTTATAAATAATTTATTTCTGAGTAGTAGTAATTTTCATATAGTGTATAAATGAATGATTAGTATTTTAATAAACAATTTATTTCTAAGTAGTAGAAATTTTTATATAGTATATAAATAAATAATTGCTAAGTTGCAGTATTTTTATATATGAATAATTTTCAAGTAGTAGTAATTTTTACATAGTGTATAGACAAATAATTGCTAAGTAATAGTATTTTTATAAAGAAAAATTTTTGAAATGATGCTATTTAGTATAATGATTAATAGCTAATTTATTGCTGAATAATTATTAATTATTAATTATAATAAATATTGCTGAATGATTGCTATTTGATATAATCACTACTACTTGGCTATGCTATTCAATAATAATTTGACATTGCCAATTAGCAATAAATTAGCATTTAAAAAATCTCTGATTTATTGCTAATTAGCAATACTAAATTTTTATCAAATAGTATAGCCAAGTAGTAGTGATTATACCAAATAGCAATCATTCAGCAATATTTATTATAATTAATAATTTATAATTATTCAGCAATAAATCAGCTATTAATCATTATACTGAATGGTATTATTTTAACTAGTATATACTATTTTACTAATTTAGAATTTCTACTATACAAATCTTTTGCTTATATATTCTATTAAGATTTATTTATATACTATTATATTTTACTTTTAAGTTCTAATTGATTTGATATAATTCAATTTATAAAAGTATACTCCTAGAAATAAATAAGGTTTATTATAATATATAATAAGATCTAAGAAATTATTTAAATTTGTCAACAGTAGAATTTAACTCCAAATCTATTATATAGTAGTCTGATAATCTAACTATTATACTAGATTATTAGACTTTACTATTATAAAACTTTATAATTATTAGAATATATATTATTAGTTAAAAATTTTTATTATATAATAAATATTCATAAATGAATAAATATATACTTCGCACCCTATGCTATGCTTATAGATAGCATCTATAACCCATAATATTTGCCAAGTCATATTTGTAAATTATACTAAATAAGGTTACAAACAAATAAAGTCCTATGCAGTATATTTATATGTCACATCTAATTATAAATATAAATAAAATTGCATGCGAAATTATTATATCTCGCATCTTACAAATCAAACAATAAAAAACAGTTATGATATAATTATGAGCTATCTTTGCAAATTGCTTTTATTTCAGTCTATTGCACAATTTTTTAATATTACAAAAATCTAAAAACAAACAAAGCTATTTATGAATATCGAATTGACACCAACAGAACTAATGGAAGCTGAATTGGAAGACCTAATTGAAATGCAGCAATATAGTAAGTAGAAATTAAAGACATAATAATATGTAAACATTCTTATCTTTAAAATTAAACCACATGCAGTCATCTTTGAGGCATGCAAAGAAACAGGGGAAGAAAACCAATATACAGCTATATATGACATTCAATCTGAAGACCAAAATGATGAAATAGAAAAAGTGAATAATAATTCAGTAGATAGAGAAAACTATACAGTTATTAAAAAGCCAAGAATCATGAATATAGAAGTTACAAAAGGTATCTACCTTACTATCTCAGATATGTGTTATTTAAGCTATGTACTGACTTAGTATATCAGATGCTGTATTATTAGAAGATATTCTAGAAGACCTAAAATTTGATATCTGGAAGCAGGTGGAAGTGTTTTTTGCAGAATATGAGGCACGAAATAGATTTAGTATTAATAAATATAGGATAGAACATAGTAAAACTAGCGAAATTCAAAAAAGAACTTTTATCTGTGAGTTTGGTGGGAAATACAAAGCAAAAAAAGATCTAATTATAGTACAAAAAGGAACATAGTATAATACAAAGACGAAAAAGTTAGAATATCTATAGCATTGCAATCTCTCTTTGGGTGAATCTAGGTCTCAAATAGGAATTACTACGTTCATTAATAAGCATAACCATAAGCTTTTAGTAGAAACTCGAGAATTCGAAATTAAGTTTAGGTTATTAAGTGAGGATGCCTTAAAGGAAATAGAAATAATGACTAAGCATGCAAATCTTTTAATTACTGTTCAAAGAAGTCTCCTTAAAGCCCGCTTTCCTGATTTAAACTTTCAAGATACTGACCTTGATAATGCAATTCAAAAGTTTAAAAGATCTGATAAAAGTGTATATAGGAATAATAATATATTAACTTTACTTACAGTATTAGTAGAAAAGAAAATCTCGAATCTACAGTGGGTTGTTGAATTTGAACTTGATGAGGAAAATCATTTGGTTCAACTTTTATAGATATCTCCAGAACAGGTCGACCTATGGTTAAGGTATAATGATGTAGTTGTTAATGACAATACAGCATATACAAATAAGTATCAAATGCCACTAAGCCTTTTCATCATTATAGATAATAATAAAAAGACAAGATTGGTATTCAAATGTTGGTCAGTAATGAAACTTTAGACATATATATGTGGATTTTACAGTCTATCAGCAAAGCTATAGGTTGACCACCAATTGTAATATTTACAGATGCAGATCCTGCATTGAATGCTGCAATCTCCATTATATTTCTAACTATATATATGGCACATTGTATATTTCATATTAGCTAAAATCTTTCTAAAAATTTAAAATACAAGTTGGGAGATAAATGAGATGAGTTTATAAGAGATTTTTACTGGTGTCGAAATAGCTTATGTGTGTCACTCTTTGAGCAAAGATGGAATGATCTGCAAAAAAAATATCTAATGGCAAAAGACTATCTACTTAGAGCCCTTGATCAAAGTCGAAAATTTTGGGCACGTGCATACTGCATAAAATCTTTATAGCTGGAATTAAGAGTACTGCGCATGTAAAGGCATATAACTGGATAATTAAAAAAGGGTTAGGATCATGTAATACTTTGTGTGAACTTGCAGATCATCTAGACCAATAGTTGAAAGATGAAGATCAATGGAAACATTTCCATGAGTACAAATCATTGACTATTATATTAACAGTACCTATGGCTAGTCAAGACCTCTTCTCTACAATTAATAAAGTGCTAGATGAATATATGACTAAAGCAATAAATAATGAAATTAAAATAGAAATAAGTTAAGCCTTTTTCTTTATACAAGTAAAATCGATCCTACAAATGAAAACTTAACTCAGGAACAGATAAAAAAAAAATAAAATAAAATAAATTGAAACATTAGTGATCTATCTAACAACAGAATTAAATATAGAATATTGAGCAAGCTTATGATAGATTTATAGAAGATCAGTATGATGCAAGAAGAATAACACTCCAGTCTATGATTAACAAAGTTAGAAGTGAAGATTTAAAAGAAATTTAGAAAATTGTCAATTTGCGTAGTGAAAAAAGGCATTGCGTTCATTTTGTAGTGATTGTTAATCCAATTTCATTTTTATGTTCATGTCTCATGAATATTTCTAAAGGCATTATATGCTGATATTACTTTCGCATCATGATGCATTCGAGTATTGCAGCATTCCATATATCGATGATACCTGTTTAGTAGTATAAAGACTCACATGAAGATTGTATAGTATCAGAAGAGAATATTGTATTTAGCTATAAAGAAGGTATACTTGAATCAGATCAAAATGGTGTTACAATTTTACCCATACACAAGCTAGCTACTATGCCAACTATTGTTTCTGTCATGAAGAATACCATTCACAAAAGGCAACAATATGGGCGAATCTGGAGACTTGTGCGTGAAGCAACGTTGCTTGCTGTAGAGAATAATGATGATGAAATAGTTCCAATCTTGAGAAAATATATCAGCGAGAAAAAAAATCAAGCACAAAGTAATGCCATAGACCAAACAATAGAAACCCCAGCTGAATGATAATCAATAGGCTAATTAGTATCAATTATTACAAAATCAGACAATAGTAATAGCTACAATTAATATTTGTCATACTTATTTTTATACAGTTAATTAGAAATTTGATCAAATTAGTAAAACATTATTATTGTAGACATCTAATATTAATTTTTAGTACTAATGTTATTGAATTCAATTATATAAAAATTTTGATTATTGTTTTTGTTATACAAAAATTAGTTTACTCTTTCTGATCTTGCATAAGAAATTTACTTAACAAATTTTGATATTGTATTATCTAATATATTATACAAATACATAAGATTAAAAAGAAATATTTCAGTAATTTTAATACTAATATTATTAAATTTAATTATATAGAAACTTTTAATTATTATTTTTGATTACAAGAAATTTACTTAACAAATTTTGATCATATATTATCTAATAAGTTACACAAATATATAAAAATATTTCAGCATAAAATTTATAAAAGCTAAGGTTTTTTCTTATAAATTTTATTTTTTATCACTACTTCATATAAGCTTTTTTAGCTCTTTTTCATTTAAACAGAATTACTTTTTATCATAAATAGTATTAAAAATCTTTGTACAAATTTACTATAATTATCAAATTATTATTTTTTCACAATTACTTTCTTGTTGTCTCTTTCTTTTTTATGTTCTCTCTTTTTTTTTGCATTTTCTCTTTTTTTTAGTTTTTTTTTTGTTCTCTCTTTCTTGCTTTTTTTTTTTTTTTTATCATTATCTCCTCTATTATATCACAAAAACAATTATCAAAAAAACTTTCTAAGCAAGTTTCTAGAAGTCACTCTAATTCAAGAACTATATCTCATAAACTATTATTTATAACTAAATCTTTAAAATTAAGCTGATCTTCTTGTTAATTATCTCAAGTAAGTACTTCTGTTTTAGAAACCTTGAAATCAGGCTGAACTTTTTGTAGATTATTTTAAGTAAGTACTCATATCTCTTCCTCTACAACTTCTATCTTGCAAACCTCTTCTTTGTCTACTACTCCTATTATTTTACCTATAGTAGAACCCTTATTTCTAGCTAGTATAAAAAAAAAGCATTTGATACTTCAAATTTTAGAAAGCATAGTTGCTAGTGATCCAAAATCTACAAAAAGTTTTTTAGTAAAGTTGAAGCAGATTTGAAATTAAAACTTTAATATTTTTATTTTTTATTTTTATTTTTTTTTTCTAAATTTGAAACTCTACTAATATTTGTTTTTAAAAACAAATATCAGCAGAGTTTCAGATTTAGAAAAAAATATATTAGTAAAGTTTCAGATTTAAATTCAAAACTTTGCTAATATATTATTATTAACTTTTATTATTTTTTTAAAAGCTTTCCTTATATATTATTTTTTAATGAAACTTTATCAAATTTTTTTTTTATTAATTTTTTAATGAAACTTTAATGAATCTTTTTTTTTATTAAATAATTTTATAAAAAACACAAAATTATATGACAAAAATACTAAATTAAAGTAGAGATTAGCAAAATTAGAAGATTAAATTATACTGTAAAGGAGAAAATTCAAGTGTTGCTAAAGATTAATGAATTCTTAAGTAAAAGCTCAGGATATCAGTTAAAAATGACAGCAGTCAAAAGAAATAGTGATAGTAAAAATAAAGACTCTAATAATTATAAAAAACTTTAGCTACTAAGAAAAGTAAAAGCTGTAAAGAAAAAAAATTTAAAGAAAGTCTAAGTTATGTCAAATTCTTTTTTTTTTTTATATACTTTTAATTTTTTTTTTATTTTTATATGCTTCTTTTTTTTTTTTTTTATACTTATACTGTTAATATTTTAGAATGAAATGAAAATACTATTAAAAACAGTATTTAAAAAGTACAAACTAAAAGTAGATAAAACTTTTAGAAGTGAAGCTAACAAAAAAATTTTATCAAAGCTAGTATCTGAGTTGTTGTAGTTATTAGTCCCAAGATATAATCTAACAAGAAGAGAAATGTAGAGCTAGTTGAGCAGCTTACATAGCTATCAAAAGGAAAGATTTTGAAAATGAGAGACTAGAAAGTTAAAGGTAAATAATTAATAATTATATGCAAATAGCAGGCTCAACTAAGTATTTACTATTTTTTTGTTTTTTTGTTTTTTTCTGTTTTTTGTTTTTTTGTTTTTTTTTTTGTTTTTTTATCTTATTTGTAATTATAAAAAAAAGCTCAAAGAATCAAGAGCATTTAATTACTTTTTAATTGAAATTTAAAATATATTTTGAAATATAAAAAAAATAAACTTTTAGAATTATTTACTAGAACTGATATATACTTACTAGAAGTGAGTAAAAGTAATTCTAGTAATCTAGATTAAAACTTAGTTAATATTTATGATTATTTGTAATAGTCTAATGAAGTTTGTTTTATTATTTATTTATTAAATATACTAACCAAATTTGTCTAAAAAATATATTTTAGAAACTATTAACAAAGAATTTGACATACTAAATGCTATTTAATAATGCTATTTAGCATGTTAAATACTATTTAATAATACTATTTGGCATGCTAAATGCTATTTAATAATGCTATTTGGCATGCTGAATGCTATTTAATAATGCTATTTGATATGTAGAAGGATATTATTAAATAGTATTTAGTATACTAAATTATTTGATTCATATATTTTTAACTATTTTTATAATTTTTATAAATTAATAGCTAATAGCTAAAGGAAAGTTATTTAAGCTTTAAAAATAACCAAGGAATCTTAAAATAGGTGCAAAGGAGCCTTTTGTAGATTATTAAAGTATGACTTTGTTTTGACAAACTGCTCTGATAGAAAGAAAATTTACTTTTGTAGCTAATCATACTTAGGCACCTAAGGCAGCCAAGTAAGTTCAGAATTGGAAAAAGATGGTAGTTACATAGCTAGTTTAGATTAGTTTATATTTCTGCTATAATATTATTTATATTTTCTCTTAATAAATAAAAGGTAAAATTGCTTAAGTTAAAAAAAAATATATATATATAAATTAATAACTAAAGAATTTGTTATAGCAGACTCTAAATATAATATCTAAATTAGTAAAGCCAAACAACCAACTTGCAAATAAACTTATAATAGTACCAAGTTGGTTTATACTATCAACAGGCTAAGTAATAGATATATGAGTCGAAATCAGAGTTAGAGATACAAGAGGAACAAGAAGAATAAGAGAATGAAGTGGAGATAGTAGAGGAAGTGATATTAGAAAAGTAAGCAAAAAAAAGTTGAGATTAATTAATGAATTATAGAAAAAATTAAAGAGGATAAGAAGGCTAAAGAAAAAGACAAGGAGATAAGTAAAGAGAAGAGTAAAGAGAAAAGTAAAGAGAAGAGTAAGGTGATAGAAGAAAAGAGACTATTTAAAAGAATAAGGATTAGTAGAGAAGATTATAAAAAAAGTATAATATATTCAAAAAAAGCTTTACACTAGTGAAAGTACAAGTACTAGTAAAATTAGAGGTGTCTTAAAGTTAGCAAGTATTAATATTGAAGTTGAATCATCAGAAGAGGAAGAAGAGCTGAAAGACGAAAAAGCTTCAAAAGAATAATATTTTATTTTATATTTTATATTTTTTTTTTTTAAAAATTCAGCAATCATGCTGTGACTTTATTTAGATTTGTTTTTCATAAAAAAAACACCATTATTTAGCGATATACTATCTAATATCTAATTTTTTAAGTCCCGACTCACCCGGTTATCCTATAGATACCTATGTGCGATCTGCTATAGTAACCTTTTTCCT